CAATCCTACTTCCGTAGTGATACTGCCTCGGAAACCCAAGGAGGGGTCGCTATGAGTCAGGGCCGACTCGACGGCAAACAACAACAACAATGTACACCTCTGTCACGTGTTCTCATTTATTCATCTTGTTTAATTTTTTCCTGAGTATTTCAGAAGCAATCTGCCATATTGTTACATATGTTAGTCTTGAATGGAAGGCATCTATGTCTACTCCCAACCACCCTTTTCTACCACCTCCCAATAATTATTCCTCGAGGCCCAGCTCAGGTTCCTTCTGCTAATGAAGTTATGTCCAATCCATCTTGTATGGAATCCATCCATCCTTCTTCTATGCCCTCATAGCACAATCCACCTTTGTGTTAGAGTTAGACAAGATTGTCTCTTGTTAGATCAACACCTTGAGACTGAGGACCATAGTTTATTCATAATAGCATTTGTTGACTTGAATTTCATCACTTCCTTCTGAACGTGGAACCAAGTAATACTTCCAAGAAGCCACCATGATTAATTTCTCTCAATTTTAATCATGTATCAATTTTTCCAGTAGTATACATGGACTCAATATTGATTGCATTATTATAGTTAATGTCACTTTATTTTCTAAAGGGAACTGATGCACTCTCACATACTATATTTTCTTGTGGCAGGTACTGAAGTCTTTAAAAGAAAGATGTATCTCCCCATACCTTGCCTCTACTATATTGTTCATGGAGGCATTTGCAAATATAGATGAGTCACTATATACTGTGTAAAGAAGAGAAAAAAAAATGGAAAAGTACTTAAAATGGAAAGATCACCATAATATTCTAGAATCAGAGTACCGAGAATAATTTCTGAATAGTTGTTGGCCCAGTCTTAACTAATAAATGTCATTTCTGGTGATAGCTAAATATAGTTGATATTGGTAACATCTCTTAGAAATTTGATCTAGTGTACTAGGAGAAAGACATTTTCATTATTCCAAAATGTTCCAATTTAGGGGTTCTCAACCTTGGCTTCACTTTAGAGTAACCTGGGAAGCTTTTGGAAAGCATAACTTTAAATGAATTCAATCAGAATTTCTAGAGTTTGAGCTCCAGACTGTAATATATTTTAAAACTTCTCTATGTGATTATAATGAACAGCCATAGTTCACTTTTCTAATGTTCAGTGAGCCTGAGTGCCACATCACAAAAAAATAAATCAATAACAATAAGTGCATCCTAATGACCATAATTACCAGTCAGATGAGATAGTAGAAATAGGAGTTGCTCTACTTTTCAGAATGTTAAAGTTAAAATGTAACATAGATGTACTGATTTCCAGTTTAATAATATCAGTCAATATTTTTCACTGTCCAAATAACTTCTATACCTATACTTTAAGCAATTTTTAATAATATGTTAACCACATGTTCTACTATTGTAGAAAATTGTATGTTGTGACATAATATTTTGTTAGGTGGATACGAACCTTTTTTAATGTGCAAGTTCGAATTTTAAGTTCTAGGGCATGGTAAAGGAAGCTTTGTATGAAGCCTTTTTATCCTTATAATTAATGTTGTATAGCTTTAAAATAAGCAATATCATTAAAAAAAAAAAAAAAAACGGTTCATGTGCCTGGCTTGCTGCAATGAAATTCAAAATTTTGTGAAAATCTAGCATATTTTTATGGGAAAAAAATCAGCCTTTGCTCACTAAGGTTTTATAACAAATGAATACTTGTTTGGAATAAAAATGTAAGTGAACCATAAATTATGATTTTATCAATTATTTTTTCATGATAGCGACTCTCCATTCAGACATTATTTGTGATTTGAACAATAAAACTTTTAAGAAAGGGTAGATAATCTGAGTAGGTTATGATATATTATAGTTGTTAGGTGCCCTTGAGTTGGTTCCTACTCAAAATGACCCTATGTGCAACAGAACAAAACACTGTCCCCTCCTGTGCCATTCTCCAAATCGTTGCTATGTTTGAGTTCATTCTTGCAGGTACTGAGTCAATCAATCTAATTCAAGGGCTACTTCTTTTTCACTAACACTCTACCAAGCAAGATGTCCTTCTCCAGGGCCTGATCCTTCCTGACAACATGTCCAAAGTACGTGAGACAAAGTCTCACCATCCTCACTTTGAGGGAGCAGCTAGCTCT